TTACACACTTATCAAGTCTCAGTATGTCCAAGGCATCTGGGAACCTTCCACCAACTTATACCTTCATTTCACAACCTTGTTTTAACAAGAGACATTGGTGTGGCACCCTGGTGGGACACCTCCCAGCTTACAAAGCACCTTCACGCCCACTGAAAACAAGCAGGGTGGGTAGGGATGTTTCACGATCAAACTAAGGATTTTTTCTTGGAGTGTGAGTGTTGCCCCTGAAAGGATCTTGTGAGAGCTCTAATTGAAGACAGGGGAACGTGAGCAGAAGGCCTGGGGAGGGGAGAGATGGGAGGCACGGAGCATGCTGGGGGGCCACGCAGTAGGAGATGAGGACACGGGCCCCACTTCACAGCCAGGTCCTGGCCCATGGATGTGCACCCTCAGGGAGAATGAAGGGCAAGCACTGAGGAAGCAGCCATGTCCTTAGGACCAGAGGCATACCCTGCTCTCACCAGCCCCTCCCACTGGGAGAACGGTCCCCTTGTTCCTTTTCTCAAACTGTGGATACCACTAGCTGACCTGATCCTGCCTGTTCTCCTTACCTCTGGGAACTTACCAGAAACCTGTGTGCTTGCCTATAGCAAAGTGGACCCACAGCAGATATCCCACAGAAGGAAGGGTTCCTTCCTTCACTACCAGACTTTCAAAGTGCTGGCACTTTCTAGGCCTTGGTCCCACCCTCTCTAGTGTGCTCTCTCGCTCCCTAAGTCAGTTCGGGCAAGGCCCATGGCTGTACAGAGCAGGCATTGCTAGTGACTTCCGGTCGAGTTCTGCCTTCCCTACATGACATCTCCACATGGTTGTCTGTTGTTGTTAGCTGCCGTAGAGTGGACCCTGATTCATGGAGACCCTGTGCACAATGGATCAGACCATTGTGATCCACAGAGTTTCCAATGGCTAATGTTTGGACGCTCTGGTGGCGCAGTGCCTAAGGCATCTGACTGCTAACTGGAAGGTTGGAGGTTCAAGCCCTCTAGCCACTCCATAGAAGGAAGACTGGGCAATCTACTTCTGTAAAGATTTACTGTCTTGGAAACCCAAGGAGGGGTCGCTGTGAGTAGGCATAGACTCGATGGCAGTGGGTTTGGATTTTGGTTTTAATGTTTGGAAGTGGAGCACCAGGCCTTTCTTCCTGGTCTGTCCCAGTCTGAAGCTCCGCTGAGACCTGGTCAGCATCCCAGCCTCCAGCCTCCTCTGACAGATGGTGGGGGCTACACATGGGGTGCACTGGCCAGGAACCAAACCCAGGGAACATGAGAATTCTACCACGCAACCCCCCCATCTCCCATTTGGTTGTCTAACACCTCAATATAAACAACAAAACAGAACCTTTGATTTCCATTCCCTCTTGCAGCTAGCTCCTCCTCTGGGAATGGCATCTTGACCTTGGGGTTGTCCTTGAGTCTTCCCTTTGCCTCATCACTGCATTCAACCTATCAGCAAGTCTTGTCGGTCCTACTTCCATAATGTACCTGTCCATCTCCCCTCCACAGCCATCCCCCTGATCCAAGCACCTTTTTCAACTATCTAGACTAGAGCAATCATCTCCTGTCTCCTGACCTCTCCATCACCTGTGTGACCCCCGCCATTTCCATTCTCTACCCAAGTCTTGTGATCATTTTGAAATCTAAATGATCAACTTGAGACACTCCCTGTGGTGGGAGGAGGAATGAGTTAATATTTGCAAAGCACCAGAAACAGTGGCCGATACACAGGAAGTGCTGGATAAGAGTCTGCAATTGCCCTGCTGCAATGGCTTCTAGAACACGATGGAAACCCCAAAACCCTGCCTTTGCCTTCCCCTTAGGTAGCATCTTGACCCCTTCCCTCCCTCACCAAGCACCAGCTGGACCGGCCTCTTCTCCAGCTCTCCCACAAGTCAGCCTCCTTCCTGCCTCAGGGCCAACATAGCTGCTGTTCCCCCTGCCTAGAACACCCTTCCCTCAGATTCTCACAGGGCTGGCTCCTTCTATACGGGCTCAGCACAAACACACTTCCTCAGAGAGGCCTGCACGATCTGTCTACCTGACGCAGCTTCCACCGCTGCCTGCGCCATCTGCCCAGCTGCTCTTTAGGGATCAGTTATTTCCACAGTCACACTTCCAAACATCAATGGTCCTGTTTATTTGTTGACATGTAGACTGTCTGTGCCTCTCAGCACATGTGCTCCTCAGGAGAAGACCCTGGTCTGCTTTGGTTGCTCCTGTAGTACACAGTAGAAACTCCAAATCAAACTCACTACTGGGGAGTTGGATCTGACTGATAGCGACCCCTCCTTGGGTTTCCGAGGTGGTATCTCTACGGAAGTAGATTGCCTACTCTTCCTTCCAAGGAGGGGCTGGTGGGTTTGAACTGGCAGCCTTCTGGTTAGCAGTCGAATGCCTTAAGCACTATGCCACCAGAGCTCCCATAGCACACAGTAGGTGCTCAATATATACTTAATGAATGAATGACTTAATTAGCAGACACTTTCCCACCTGGACTCTGCCTTCTAGCCTGTGTCTCCACCTGAAAGAGCTGTTCTTGCCCTTGCCTGGGAGCCACCAGCTCAGATCCACAGACGTTACCAGACTGCAAATCCCCACCCGGCCTGGCTCAGCTGGTGGACACAGCCGTCTATCCTCACTGCACCATCATCCTTCCCATCAGCTGAACTGGGGCTGGGTGTGTGGTCGGTACTGGAACATGGCAGCTGTGTGTGGGGGTGGGGAGTCAGATGGGAGACACTAGACTTGTGTCCAGGCCTCTGCATCTAAACTTCTGGAAGCTTCCCCTGCCCCCCGATGGTGGTGCCTCACCCAGACCCTTGGACCCCACTATGTGGGGAGAGGACCCTGCCACTTAGGTGCTGTCAGAGGAGAAGCTGCTGAGAGCCTTCGGACAGATTTCCAGCACCTAGTGGATGGTAGGAAGGAAGATGGGGCAATCTACTTCCGCAAAGATTTATAGTCTCAGAAACCCAGTGAGGGTCCCTATGAATCAGAACTGACTCCGGGGCAGCGAGTCTGGTTTTGGTTTTGGTGGATGGTAACTAGCACTGACCCAAAGGCTGCTGGTCAGGCAGCCACCAGAACAGCAATGCAACAAAGGCAGTGGGTCCCATGAGGAAAAGCCCCCTCAGAATCCCCAGGCACAGGCCTGAGGGCTGGAAAGGACCCTGTCTCTGACCAGTCATGGCCTGGGGACGGATGGGTGCACTCCCCCGCCAGCCCACCAAGCAGCAGCTAGGACAGCTCTGTAAGAAGACTGGGAGAGGCAAGGGCTGGGGGGCCTGGCCTGGGGATGACGTTCAGTCCCTGGGGCAGTTCCAGCTGCACCCAGAGGGCTGCACCCAAACCTAAGCGTCCAGGGAACAGACCCCAAGGCCCAATCCTCAGTTGAAGGGAGCCACCCTAAGAGGACAGGAGGTGTTACCCTTCCACACCCACTGCGAGGTCAGTTCTGACCCACAGTAACCCTGTAGGACACAGAACTGTCCCAGGGGGTTTCTGAGGCTGTCAGTGTTCACAGAAGCAAAGCCCAAACCACACCCACTGCCGTGGAGTCGATTCTGACCCACAGCGCCCCTAGAGGACAGAGTGGAACTGCACCACAGGGTCTCCAAGGCTGTCA